ATGACTCCCTAGAAAATGAGTTAGGATACATCCAAAATACGCTGGTCCAAATGGGTTACCCTCGTAGATTTGTGAGGAGACACGTGAACATCAGGTACAGTAAAGAGAAACTGACAACAGTTAAAAAGAAACAACTGTTCAGGAAACTTCAATTTAATGGGGACGTGGCTAGTGAAGTCTTACATCTGAGATTATCGAGAGCGATAAAACGGACTTATACTGCCGCCACCCTTTGTTTTTTTTCAGCCGACCAAGTTTGATTGCTCAAGTGAAAGATAAGCTACCTAGTTGTGCCACTTCGATGTGCATCTATAAATTTAGTTGCTCCTGTGGAGAAAACTATATAGGGCGAACAACTAGACAGCTGAACAAACGCATTAATGAGCATCTTCCTTCATGGTTCGGAAAAGGTCAAATAAAATCCATACGAAGTTCTATTTTGGCTCATTTGATTGATAGTGGTCACCAAGTGGACAAAAATAGTGCTTTCAAAGTTATTTACCGTATTCCATCGAGTCTTTCGAATGGAATCAGAAACCGTCTTTTACACCTAGCCGAAGCTATGGGAATTCGAGAGAACAATCCTAGTCTTTGCGTACAAAAGAAGTTTGTTCTACCTTTGTCTCTCCCTTGGCCTAGGTGAACTATATTCAAAACCCTCCCACCCTTCCTTATTTTCTACCTCCTTTGTACTTTTATAATATTTATTTAAACTCTGATTATCGTTCCACTTCACCTTTTAAGATTTGACCCAATTTATTTATACACTTATATACATATACTATCTTTGTTATTCTTATCACCTGCATAAACCTTATTATCAATATTTTGTTATCATTATAATCATCGTTATTAACTACGTTCAAAACATTTACCACATTTTTATTAAGACTATTAAGATTATTATTTGATTCCCAAAATCACCGTCATTGGTTAAAAAATTTTATATATAAATCTATGTAAATTAGAGTAAAGCCTGAAGAAGATCTAATTGAAAACAATATTGTTCGCTTATATGTCTTGTTCTAATTCTATTTTAAGCGATAAAATAACTAAATTGAGTGTATACTGACACTGTTCCACTCGAAATTATTATTATAATTTTTTATTCCGTTGAGTTTCTAGTGGAACATAAGGCCTCAACAACACATCTCTACTTTCTTCTATTTTCTGATACCCTCTTCAGCTGGGTCCAAGATTTTCATATTCCCTCTCCTTATCACAACACGATCTCCTCCATATTACCCTCACACCGATGACACACTCATGGCTGCCCATTGAACTTTCACTCGAGCGATGGCCTGCATTAAGTGTGATGTCATCGACGGCCTCCTCATCGTGTGCCCAACCTATCTCCACTTTCTTCTAAATATTTGTTGAGCGATCGGCTCTTGGTTGGTTTGTTCCTAGCCAAGGTTTCTTGTCCCATAATGGGTAAATTTTTATTTTGATAGAGTCTCACAGTGTTATACAGTAATATTTACTGATGACGTTTTGAGCACAATTTATTGCTCATAATCATATCAAGGTAATCACACGACTTCCTAAATTCATTTATATAGTTCCATTGCTTTTCACTTGATTTGATTGGTAGTATTATTTTCCATATTTCAGGTATGAGTGATGATCCATTCCTATTGCATGTGTTGGCTGTAGATTCGATGAACAAGGATTCAGGAATCAATCTCTCTCTCCATTTCCTAGATTACTTTTAAGAATTTTAACCCTCTCCCACTCACTTTATTGTGTGGTTGTGTGTTAATGCATGCATTGCAATCGCCGAGCTTTTTTCTAAAATATCGGTGATCCCATTGCTACACCTTTAATTTGTCTATATATTTTGCCTTGGAATTTAAATATAGTAGATGTGAGGCATAGCTGAATCCCTAAAATAATTTCTTCAATGGACAGCTTTGTCCTATGATTGAGTTCAGTATCCGCAGTTAGTTCTTTTTTTTTTAAACATAGTAGGATCATAATTGTTGTTGAAATTATCTTTTTTGTGCAATCAAGGATTAAAAGTGTAGTAATAACAAAATAGACAGATAAAAAACATTTTAGTATAAACAAAAATTAGAAAAAAATAACAGAAATAAACAGGGAGATTGAATAAGAAAGTTAATAGAACAACTGATTATTTAAGATGGTCACAGTAGAGACAAAATCGAATGAATTACTTTTGAATACATAATTTGTGCTTTTAATTCTGAATCTCTGATGCCTCAGCTGTGCCCAGATGTCTTGATCTCACTTCCTTTGAGAGGTTTGATAGGAACTTGCACATGAAGTTGAAAGACTTTTCGAATCAATCTGAACGTTCAAATAATCTGTTACCGAAGTATATTTTCACTTGAGTTCTCGCTTTGGAAGCCAGGCTGAATAGTGTTCCCAAGCGCGTTTTACCAGTGGAGGAGTGATACGGCCAATGTACTCAGCTTCACAAGAGCAAGTGAACTGGCATATGCATGTTGAAGTGACCAAATGAGATATGTTGTCTCTCTCACGTATTGGTTAAATAGTTTCTTGTAAGAAATTTGTCACTCACTGGCAGGCGGCCAAGTATGCTTTGCTATGAGATTTCGGGAGCCATTTAGGGAATATTTCTGCTTCAACGTCACTTTTGAATTCACGATCAAGCGTCGGAGTCTTTTTAGAGGTGAGTTGAACCTTTTCAGACGTTTTCTTTGGTTTCAGATTCTTGTCTATGAATATGGGAAATCATTCTCCATCAAGATTCCTAGAGGATTTTTTAGTTCTTTTTAATAGATTCCTCGGTACAAATTTTCAGCATCTTCCAGTATTGAGAATATGTGAAGTTTCTCTTTAGAAGAAGTACTCAATTCGAAATATGGATAACGTTCATTCAATGTACGCTTTTCTTAAATGAATCTCGCAAGCTCGTTATCAGCATTTCTTAGCAGTTGAACACCTTAGAAATGAAATATTGAGTCATATCCAACTATTAGGGTGAAGTAGATGTCTCGGTGGTCGTTACTGAAGATTTGGAGTAGGCTTCCACAATCTAAGTCCTCATGACAAATAATGAAAGTATCATCAATCTATCCTTTGTACAGATGGAGTTCGCTGATATTTGGTGATAAGAAATTGTTTTCTAGGTTAGCTGTAAAAGCGTCGGTCTAGACGATTGTCTTAACATTGTGATATGCGGATGTAAGGCGACTGGTAGCAGCGTCAGAAGGTTTTGAACGTAAGTCTGTGGTGCTTACTGAAACTCATCATCAAGGTGTATCTGCAAACTTGATGGAGCTGACGCCGTCACTGAGGTTCTGATTTACATCACAGGGTATTAAAGGTTGTTAGTAGGAGAAGTGGTGCTCCACTTAGTCATCTAGTTACTATTGTAGTTGACAGACATCTGAATTCATGCGAGAAATGATCCGAATTCATATTGTCTGACTCTTAATACCCCCTCTATTCTCAACTATACCCTTGCATCTCATCACCAGGTAAAACTAGAAGTTATCGTAAGAGAGTATATGCTCGTACAACGAAGTACAGAGACTTAACGATAGTAAATTTGGCACGCATCTTATGTGGTAGAGATATTGTTGAGAGCAAAACCCACGACTTAATTAGTTATTCGCAAATAATTGGTTCTTTTTTGATCCTCTCCTATTTGTAAACTTTGGTGACACTATTTGAATTATCTTATAATTTTAGCCATCAACATTATTACTATTATTTCACACTTTTAGTACATTTTTGACTTTATTGTCACTGCTAATACCAAAAAGCTGTTATCATCAGTCCTGAAATATTATTTTTCCGTTTTTATTTTTGCGATTGTCGTCTAAATTAGATGCAATATTGTACCGAATGCTGAGAATTCCATACTATATCATAAGTACTATTTTGGAATAAAACAAATTATTATTATCACACATTACTGCAGAAGGAGGAGTCGCCACTGAGATATTCAGGTGGTAATCATGCGCCTTTGTGCGATGCAGATCACAGATACGCTTTGCTGGTGGACTGGAATAAGGATGAATCCCAGGTTCATGGCTTCCTACTGATTCCCTTCAACCATATAATAATATAAATTCGCATGGCATCATGATGACGAGTCAGCTGGTTTAGTGACTAAATAGCAGACTTGACTGATAGAATTCGGTCATTGTATTAAGAAAGTTAGTGAAATTTAAAAGGTTGACATGGACTCAGATATCCAGAACAATTTTTTAAACATACGTTGTGCTACATATACTGTGTGAAAGCTGTGAGATAACACTCAGTTGCCTAGGTGAGGTGAGTGGAGAGGGCTTAAACCCTTGATGTGACGATTTAATGTCCAGTGCTGAAGCCAATCAGGTTCCTTCTCTATATAAGTCGACTGACTCGTAAGTGAAATACCACATGTTTCCTGAATGAATTCTTTACAGTTACTTATTATCCTCATAAACGCCCTGATAAGGCCAAGAGTGGGTAGACTTCGGTCTTCCTCTTGAAATGCTCTTATGTAGTCACGTTCACATAGTCTCTTCCAGGTACATCCTATTCACTGCCTTCGCGCGATAAGGATGCTTCTCACAAAAAGGAAAGGGTGAATGTGAACGTCTAACGTGTACAACCACACTGGTGGACCTGCAAGTCCCCCAAGTGGAGGTATAAAATCCCGATTCAAAATCTATGGTGTACATGGGTTCCTGAATCTGAACGTATAGAATGGCGTGTGAACCTGTTCTGGTCACCACAAACCATGGGAACATAACTCCTGATACTACTCCGCTGTTTTATAGATCAGACTTCAAGGAAAAGGCTCGGTTGCTGACGCGTCAAGATAACCATCTGCTTCATTACGGGTGTCCAAGAAGTACCCTAGCCCCTGCACAAACTACTAGAGATTGTGTGGCGCATCTTTTGGCATTCCGAATGTACTAAGTTTGAATTTTGTTAATAATACGGTTAGTTATTACTAAAGTTGGTCAATTGATTTCTGTAATGAAATTATATTTCGGCTGTGTTGTGTTTGTTTCCAGGGTGCATATCATCCACATCTTTTAGTCTATACACCAAGTGATGTAAAATACATACTGAACTATGCTCGTTTACGCGGAATACGTGTTATGCCGGAATTCGATACTCCAGGTTAGTGAATTTTTGATTCAGTGTCGATACTATGTTATCGTTTGACACCAAGTTGTTTCTTCTAATGATAACTTGGGGTTTCTTATATTTGCTGATCTCATTTCAAGCGGGAAATCTTAAATATATCTCACGTAACTGGCGAGATCATTTTTTAACGGCACTTTATTCGTCTCTGCTGAGTGTGAAGCTATGCTATTGGATTAATGTGTGACGACTCCTTGTTTGAGAATATCGAGTGAAGTTTTTCAGTGTGCTTGTAAGGCTTCAAATTTATTCGTTTGTGGTTTGAACGCAAGAAGTCGATCTCCGAGTTCCACTGTATAGCCTAAAAACTTCGGTGAAACACGCGCTATCATGAAAGGTTCCGAAGTAAAAAAGGCGATTATTCTCCAATATTTTATGGGTTCTACTAAACAATAATAGTAATAACACCAAAACTCACATTTACGTTAACAGTGACGTGAGACAGCTGACTATACCGGCAATGTGTAGGTTTCTACATGCAAAACAGGTGCTGTAAAACAAAATTAGTTAACCGAATTTCAACTGTAAAAGAATCCTTAGAGTCGAGGAGATTATTCTCAGCGAGGTAAGGTCATAAGCTCTGCTGTCCACAGGACTTACACATCAGCAGTTCCAAAGACATTTGCGGATCAGAATCACCCTCATTCATTCAAACAAATTAATTTAATTTAAAAACACCTTGTCAGTGTACACATAAGCACAAAGAGAAGCATTACAATTGAAGACTAAACAATGACACAGGCAAATAGTAAAGATCGAAATCAACATGTAATATGCAAATACCAAATTAATGATAGACAGTCTAGGGGAAAACGTATAAAAATTACAAAGTTAATTGAAACGTCTGAATGAGTAGAAATTATTGTAAATAGTTCGTCCAGGAGGGATTTTCCAAACAATCTGCCCACTACAGCGTTGATCATCTGACTTAAGTTAGACTATTCAAGTTGAATAAAACAACATGAAATTCAATTTCTAAACTAAATATTAAGTGTCAGGCAAAAGATTATAAATCGACGGGTGAAACTGTGAATTGTCACCGAATACAGTACTTAGAATATGTCTGTATTTAGTAGATTATTATATATTGTCAATTATGGAGGGCCGAAATGAGATCACCCCTTAACCAACAAAAGAAAATGGAATAAAAATCTAGCTGTATGACAACGCTGCATGCCAAGTAATCCACAACGGGAGGCTCACGGAATCCTTCGAAGTGAGGACGGGAGTGAGACAAGGCTGTCTACTGTCACCAATGATCTTCCTGATTGCAGTTGATTGGATAATGCGGCAGACAACGGCAACCAACGAGGGAACAGGCATAAAATGGACCGACACAAAAGCCTTGGAGGATTTGGATTTCGCCGATGATATATGTCTGATTTCCCACAAACTGGAAGATATGCAAGTGAAAAGCAACAAATTGGCAGAAGAAGCAGCTAAGATAGGACTTCAAGTGAACATAGACAAAACAGAGGTAATGAAGATTCCTGGCCAACATCAACAGCAACAACCGACAACAATCAGCATAAATGGGAGGAACCTGAAGGAAACAACTTCTTTCACCTACCTGGGAAGCATCGTCTCAACTGCAGGAGGAACTGACGAGGATATCAAAGCCAGAATCGGAAAAGCAAGACAAGTTTTCATTTCTCTCAAGTCTATGTGGAGGTCAACAGCATTCAGCGTCAAAAATAAGATCCGTATTTTCAACTCCAATGTGAAGTCAGTACTACTATACGGATCAGAGACTTGGCGTGTCACAAAGAGCACCTCAAACAAGCTACAGACCTTCATTAACAAATGCCTTCGCTCAATACTCAAGATCAAATGGCCGGAGAGGATCAGCAACAAAGATCTCTGGGAGCGAACCAACCAGGAACCGATTGTGAAACAAATAGGCAGGAAGAAATGGAGATGGATTGGACACACTCTGAGGAAACCAGCAAGTGACATCACTAGACAAGCCCTCGAGTGGAACCTGAAAGGGAAGCGACGAGTTGGTCGTCCAAGGGTGACCTGGAGGAGATCATATGAAGAGGAATTGAAAGCGTGTGGGCAGACTTGGAGCCAGGTGAAAACTCTAGCAGAGAACCGAACGCAATGGAGACGCATGGCTGAAGCCCTATGTTCCTCTAGGAATTAAAGGAAATAATAATAATAATTATCCGATCTCCCCTTGATTAATTTATTCTCCACATTTTTTCCGGTCTCCAATTTGTCTTATTCCTATTTGAGACATGGACTCACTATCTGGATCCTATATTAATAACGATGTCTATTTTAGATTATATATAATATGTTAAATATATCAGCATCTAAGGTTATAAAGGCCCTATGAAGAGCCAATAGTATTCTGAAACCATTCGGAGTCGCTATTTCAGAGCTGGGTGAGATTTATAGGTTATAGTTTCTAACCACTCCTATATCACTATACTCAGTAACCGTAAATAGAGTAAAGGCATTTACTGAGCAGTGGTGCATACATATTTCACGCCGAGTTTATGTGGAATTCGGCTAAAAATAAGTCAGAACTGATTAGAGGGGAGCGCGGCATCAACATATGAAGTCACTGACTACTAGGCTCAACTGTATAGAGGCGTATATGCTTCATGACACTATGGGATACTAAGAATTCATGCTTGGTTACTCTCGTAATTTCACAGTCACTAAAAATATAATAAACAGAATAACTAGAGAGGGCATTTACACCAAACCTTCAACAGCGGGTACTTAGAAATGAACGACAGACAGTTGCGTTTCCAGATTTTGTAAATGTCGACATCCTTCGCGAACAAAACGTCAATGGGATTTCTAAGCTATTTGTCCACCATTTGTATACATCATACTGCTTTTATTCACAGACGTCATATTAAACCAGAATTCATCAAAGTGTCAACATTAAGCCAGTGGTTCTCATCATTTACATTGATAACATAAAACTAAATTTAATGTTAACGTATTTACTTGCATTTAAAAGTCTCACAAACACCAGTGACCTAAATACACAGTCTCTGATATTTTGTTCATATTAACATTTTCTAAATAAGGAGTGATTCGGTCCAGTTAATCGATTTTTAAAAATCTCAACATGATTGACAGATATGATTCACCAGTCAAATGGTGTATACGATGATTTGTTTTCCAGTGTGATCAGGGATTGATGTCAGTTTGAGAAGCACTGAAAACTAAGGAGTACTGCACAACTATTTCCTCCGTCCTAGTTTGGCATTCATCGGCAGTACTCACCCACCCTTAAGTTTCGAACCCAGGACCTTCCAGTTACAAGGCAAGCTCGTAGAGCATTCAGCGACTGGAACTAGACGTAATGGTCAGTCAATGAATCCTAGGTAATATAGATTCATGATTTTAGCATGATCACCAGCCATTTTCTATATGTATAGGTACTACGTAGTGTCTTGACTTGATTGATTGGTTCATTGAACACTAAGTAATTTTGATGCGTACTTATTCCCTCCATGAACTTAACTGTGTCACAAATTCAGTGGTAGAATTCTTACCGACCACGCTTCGATTCCCATCTGCAGCACTTCCACACACTCAGTCGGTAGTAAGTCTCCCAAGGAGGAAAGGTTGAATATAAGGCTAGCAACTCCACCTCGTAAGGGCAAGACACCACAGCTACTGATACTTCAGAGCTGAAGCTTGAAACCCTGTGTTCCACCAGGAAGGCAAAGGGATGAAAAAAGGAACTTATCTGTAGTCAAGTCTTGCAACAGTGACATGTCTGCTACCATCCAAATTGTCACAAACCATGAAATACTTCATTTGTGGTTGATGTAATGTGTCACAGAGATTGAGCACTTATCTCTGTTGAAAACAACTGACAAGAAAATGTTTTGGAAGATTGAGTTGACGTCAACTGATACTTGTTGCACAGGACGTGAACCTTCGATTTAACAGTCTATTATGTAGTGCTTAGGAGTTTGAAACTATGGGTGATAAGTTATCTTGAGTTCACGCCTACACATTTAGGTAAAGCAGGTAATAAAGTCAAACGATGAGACTGTGCAGTTGAATCGATTGAAACTGCTAGGACGTGTGACGTTGCACATGCCTAGCCATTGCCTCTGTCTTAAATCTGACAGAGGATTAGGATGGAAAACAGCGAGGAATGGTCCGACCAAAACATGACATCAATGAATAAAGTCTTTGACTGTTGGTTATAAGCCAGGTGGGGAGATGTAAACTTCTTGACTGATGTCCTCAAGAATGCTAAGAAGCAATGTCTGTGAAGTGTTAGGGACACAGCTAGAATTTATACTCAAAAATTAGGGTGAAAGCGCTCTTTTTGATTTCCTAAATCTATCAGGTTCTCATTATTCTCAACGTAATTACTCTTTCTCCGGTACTTTTCCGCATATTATAGTTTCTTCGAATATATTTTCTTTTTATTTCCACCTTAATATCTGCTTTGGTGAGGTGTGGTAACCTAAAGCACCACATTTTTGTGCAAAGTTTTACGCTGATATTCCGGTTAAGTTCACTTCAGGTGGTGTCTCTGAGTTCAAGTAAGAGTAGCGCCACCTATTGGGATGCAGTTATATTCTGGAAAACAATTCCTGAATAGTTCGAAAAGTTCTTCTAGATATCCATGCGATGAATCAGATATCAAGAAATGAAAAATTGGCTTCAAAAAACTTAAGCATTTGGCGTATGCAGTGCACGATTTCCAAACAAATCCAGTAGAAAGAGGTATCTTGAGGAAAATAATTCAAATGAACTATATTCAGATGTAAAATGGCTTGCAAGTATGAAGGATAGGTTGAATGTACTATTTGACAGCACACTAATTGTAAAAACACCGATTATTATTATTGTTCCATTGGGTTCCAGATGCAGCGTAGGGCTTCAAAAGAACATCTTCACTTTTTCCAGTTCTCTGACGTCCTTATCTTCTCCATGTCACCTTTGGAAGCCTATTCGCCATTTGCCCTTCGGGTTCCACTAGAGCCGTAGCATGAGGTAACCTTAATCTTTGTGTGCTATATGAAAGATGGTAACTTGAAGTGACACATTTCTGTACAATATTCCCTGTTAAAACTCAGTCAGTGTGTGGCTTAATTTGTCAGCATTCGAGCAAGATTACGTTTAGTAAGATGGCATATACCACTGATCGACACAAGTAGTCAGTAGTATTGTAACAGGCCAGAAATGATCTAACCACTAGGCAGTCAACCTAACTAGTACTCAGATGATTTTGACTAAGTTTAACCTCTTATACGAATAATTAGTTCCGTATCAAACATATGAAATGATCGTCAGCTGTTATAGTATATCAATGAATGGTTTACTGATTTCTATATTAGACACTAGTAGTTTATATAGGAAACTTTCAATATCTTACAGGACAATACAGTTAGTTCAACGATTATGGTTATTTGAGCTGTTATAACCTTTGCATAAACTTCAAAAGCTTTGGACGTCAGAATGTCACCTGAATGTCATCCGTTAAGCTTCCTAAGAAGAAGTAAATTCACATGTTTCAAAAATACCGATTAAGTTCACCTTGTGCTTATGGACAAACTGCAGATATGAAAAACAATTTTGGTCTCCGCTGCCATTACCGTAGATGGCGTGATTAGTGACCACAATGTATTTAATGTAACAGTTTAGATGATGTTCGTTTCACAAGCCTTTGATTTTCACCCTAACTTCTGCATTACCTGCTCTTAAAATTCAAATTCAAAGTCTCCATTGAGTTATATAAAAGACATGGCGTTCAGTGAAGAGTTACACTTTCCAGAAATATCATTCTCAAGCTATTCAATCGCATATGTGTAGTACATTTTCTTAGCAACGAAATGAATGTTTCCAGAAAAGTGTCAATGAAACTGCAAATGTTAGATAACCATTTGAGTAGTACGAAAAAGAAGTGTCGGTCGAGTGGAAACTAAAATAAAATTGAATAATTGAATTTAGTGACGTAATATAATTGAAGGGATTGAGTAGAACCCAACTGAAAACTGGACGAGAGTACCGTTAGCAGTGCTAGTAATAAGGGGTTTCATAAAAGAAGAAGATTCCCACTTAGAACTATCCTGGGGCACCAGATTGAATCTGGACACCAAATTAACTCACCAACCCACTTCGGAGCCATCTACAGAATACATGGGAAACCTTCTAAAAGCGTATGAATCAAACTTCTTCAGAATGCAGAAGCACTGGAAATACAAATGTTAAATCCTGAAATCAACATTCAAAAGAAGTTTGTTCAGTCATTAAATTTACGGTGAACCTGATCCATTGAATTAGTTGTGTTCTGTGAACTTATTGATTTAACTGCGAAGCTTTCGTCGTCCTTCTAGACAGCATCTTCAGCGCAGGTTTTGGTACTAGGACCTGATGTATCTTAACACCAAATACGTTTTCCTTATTTTTTATTTCTTAATTGTATTATTTTCCTTCCAGATCCCTCTTAAATTTCTACCCCTTATTACCAGCATTGCTAACGGTACTCTCGTTCAGTTTTCAGTTGGGTTCTACTCAATCCCTTCAATTATATTACGTCACTAAATTCAATTATTTAATTTTATTTTAGCTTTCACTCGACTGACACTTCTTTTTCGTACTACTCAAATGGTTATCTAACATTTACAGTTTCATTGACACATTTTTTTGGAAAAATTGATTTCGTTGCTAAGAAAATGTACTACATATATGCGATTGAATAGCTTGAGAATGATATTTCTGGAAAGTGTAACTCTTCACTGAACGGCTTTTCTTTAAATTCAAATGAATAGGATCTTATGTTTTCATTACTGTGGTATTATTTGCATCCTGACATTGTCTGCATTGACAGTACAATCAGTGTGATTATATATACATATATATGTAACAACAGAAGACAAGAGTCAGGCAACAGATCATTTATTAAGGAAATCAACGCATATTTATATATATTTCATGTACATTACTATGGATATTTAAACAAACAAACACAGTCTTCCAATTGGTTGTTTCCCACGTAAAGTTAATCTTTCATCTATTTGTGACTGTTTCTTGAATGTCAAATCCTCTATATGTTAACTGCATCCGCCTACGCAAAGTCTGCTGTGGTCGGTTTTGAATCAATCTTTGTTCACATTTTCTCACGACAAATCTTGGAACGTAAATATTGACGTGAATTACTGTCTACCAATTTGGCTAGTAGACAGTTCTCACCATATATATATATATATATGCTACACGAAAGTACTAAACATAAGGTAATTCACTTGATTGGTAACACCTCCAATACCATCTGTGTTGTGTGAATACTTTTTACTCTCCAAAGAAAAGTGTGGCAGTTTCTTGTCTCCATCTGTGTAAATTTGATTCCATCTCTTATCAGTTCTTCCAAGTGGCTGGCCAGAATTCGAGTGGTGTATCTAGATACGGCGTTCTAGGCTGTCTTGAACCACTCACCTCGCTGATGAGATTGACACTAGACGAAAGAAAAGGCTATCCAGTTTTTGGGCCACTTCAATTTGGCTAGAAAGTACCACTGCTTGAGGTGGGCCAACTGCAACTACTCGTATCAATCAATCAGTAGTATGTAGCATCAAATTATTCGCTTGCTTTTTTGTTTATAATTTATGTTATCAAGGAGACCACATATTATAATTAGAATAATTCTACTTTCCTAAGGAACCTGTAGTGTTCCGTCACCTTCATAAATGCCTCTGTGGCTAGATTTGTTTTACCGATGAGTAACGCTATATATCCATACAGATAAATGATAAGGTTACCTCTGCATTGTTTGATTCTCTTCAGGTCATGTAGGTTCCTGGGGTAAAGGGCATCCAGAGGTGTTAACACAGTGTTACACAGATCAGAAGCCAAATTCTCGTCTTGGTCCAGTCAATCCAGTCAGCAATTACTCTTATAAATTCATGTCAGACCTATTCGAAGAGTTGCTGGATGTATTCCCTGAAAACTTGTTCCATTTAGGTGGTGATGAAGTAGATCGAAGTTGCTGGTGAGTTCTGTTAAAAATTCAGAAGACACTGTATCTTATTTGCATAAACTAATCTCACTTTAGCCTCCTAATGTGATCCTATGATATACACATACATACGGCTTGAAACGTCATCATGGAAGTCTCATTCGGCTGATGTACGATTTTAGTGGGGAAAGGCCTGCGATAGGATTAGCCATGAAGCGATTTCGATAACTTTTCAACACTATGGAGTGCTCAATACCATTATCAAACTCGTCCAACAGCTATATGACACTGCTATGTGTCAAGTGATCCACAATGGAAAACTCAGCGAAGTCTTAGAAGTGAGTAGAGGAGTTGGACAAGGCTGCCAACCGTCACCGATGACATTTCCAACATGCTATCAACTGATTATCCTAATCACTATTTGAAAATGACATCGGTATGAAATTTCCACTTGGATTCCTACACAGCGTTCATACTAGTGCTGTAATAACAGCAGATTCTGTAATCCAACAAACGGTATGCGTAGAAGCTTATCGGTGCGTTCGCACTCCATATTTGCCATTCTTTAGCTTCCCCTTATACATGTAAATAAACAGCAATACAAAGAATATTAATTGAATAATTCTTAGTGCAGTAATGGAATAGGATATATGAATACAAGATAGTTAGTATTCGAAGAATCAGAGTTGATTTATAGATAATGTAATGGCAAGTTAGTGTAGATTTCTTCTCAGAAATCCTAAATGACAATTATAACTAAACTTTCAAATAAATGAACCAGACGTTTGAGTGACACTGGAAAAATTCAAAATAAAGGGTGGGTACTGATGATGATTCATAAACTAGGATGAAACAGCTGTCCAGTACTTCCTGGTTTTCAATGTTTCTGTTCAATGGATCTGTCTAAAATACCATACAATATTATGTATAAAATATTGAACATTATATGTATATATATATAAACCTCAAACTATGATGTGTCTAGGTGCGACTGCCGTCAAAATCGCTGTCTTTGTACAAAATGAAAAATAACAGCAGAATTGTGTCAAAGGGAATCCACGATCAGCATTAAATAGCGCGAGCATGTCCAGATAAAAATGAGAGGTGAGAATAAACAATGTTCAACACAGAGTGGACTATAAGTAAATCATGAGGCGCAAATCCTGTTTTACTATTAGATTACAATAACTACAGACTAGATAAGGTGTTTATAAATCAGTTTACATGAATTTCAATCGAAAACAATAGTTATGACGACGTAATAGTGACATAGTAAACGAAATTTAACCTTATGCTACTATATATATACATACTACTGAAAAGTAGTATAATCTATAACTCAAAGGAAATAGAAACGGAGGCATTAACAGTTAGCGGATATCTTTTTTTCATTAGTGTTAATTATTATTAAGTGTTCTTTGATTTGAAGTAACTTTGAGTGTGACCATACGACCCTACCAAACTCGAAGACTTACAGGCAAAAACCAACAAACTGGCTGAAGAAGCAGCGATGACAGGACTTCAGGTGAACATAGAGAAGACGGAGGTGATGAAGAATACCAACCAACCAAGCAACAAAAACTAGCACCAGTCACCAGCAAAGGGAGAGATTGACAGAGGTTATTCGCTTCACTTAACCGGCTAAGAAGTATCATTTCAACCACAGCCACACGGCACGGATGAAGACTTCAAAGCCAGCCAGACAGAATCGGCAAGGTGAGATACGCCTTCATCAATTTAGATTCAGTTTAGAAATCATCTGCACTTAGTAGCATAAAGAGGAAGATTCGGATTTTCAACACAAATGTGAAGTCACTCAGTTCTGGTGTCTAGGTCAGAAACTTGGCCAGTGCCTCATGAAAAGCATTTCCAAAAGGTTACAGACTCTTGTCAACAGCTGCCTTCGCTAGATGGCTGCATACTGAAGATCAGATGGCCGGACTGCCAGCCGGAAATACTTAGTAAGAAGAAGCTCTGACAATGAACGAACCAACCAAGAGTCGATTGCTCAGCAAATATGTAAGAGAAATTGGATATGGATTGAGTACATGATGAGGAGGCCAGTGAATGACATTACGCGCAATGCAGGCCATCACTCTAGTGGAATCTTAATGGGAAGCGACGAGTGGGCCATTGGTGCGAGGGTGACATGGAGAAGATCGTTGAGAAAAGAGAGATTTTGGGCGATTGTGGAGCTAGCCAGCTGATGAGGATGGCAGAAAATTGATAGAAGTGGAGGTGTGTTGTTGAAGCCTGATGTTCAACTCGGAACCCAAGGGAATAATAATAATACAACTCTAGACTGTCTGATTTGCACTTTTGTAGCGATAACAGTTTCCTGTGACTTCGCTACGTTACTATTGTTATTCCCTTGGGTTCCAAGGGGGACATACAGCTTCAGCAGGCCATTTGTATTTCACTCAGTTCTCTGAATTCCTCTTCATATGGCCTCACAATCGACTTTGAGCTTACATCACTTCTGCCAACTGTGGCGTGTGCTATTGAGATACGGACTGATAGGAAATGCCTAAAACTTCAAATAAACATTCTAATTCAATGGCTAGTGCGGTAGAAGTGTTTACTCCTCAAATATGGATTTGGTTTACGTTGTGGTCCAGAAATAATCCCACTGGACACATTTTCGTGCGTTTGTTTAACCTCAGGCCAATAGCCAGACAGAGCTATTTAATATCAGCTTACCTAGCCGCGTTTTAATGTAGTAGGAAATGTAATCGTATGATGCATTTTTCCTCAATAAAAATTCCATTATCACTTCTCTTATCTTCTGTTGTTACAAAGCGACTTCCTCTAAGTCTTCCTAAGACGCCCAACTAGTCGTATCCTATTCAGGTTCCACTCAAGGGCCTGGAAAATGGTATCACTCTGTGTGTGTCCAATCCATCTCAACTTACTTCTACATATTTGTTAGGCAGTAGGTTGTTGGTAAGTTTGTTACTTATCTGGCTGATTTTTGACCATCTGATCTTCAGTATGGAGCCAGTGGAGGTAGCTGTTTATAAATGTCTGCAGTCTGTTGAAAATGCTTTTTATGACATGCACTCCAACTTCTTAAACCATTTAGAAGTACTGACTGACTAGACATTAATGTCGAAAGTTTATATTTTGTTGCTTATGCTTAGTGGAGTAGATTTCAACATCGATTTCAAATAAATGATAGCCTGCCTTGCTTTTTGATCCTTTCTCTGACATTCTTAGTGGTGCCATATGTAGTTCAAACTATAATTTCTAGAATTGCTTCACTTTTCGATGAAAAACATGTTTATAATCTCAGCTAGAATTCGATAGACATGCACCTTGACCTTATATTTCTTTTACGTAATAAATTTTTACAAAAATCAAGTCTTTCTTTCAATGCATATCGCATTCATTTTGATTTCAGGATGTCAAATCCTTCAATAAGTGAATTTATGAAGAAGATGCAGTTCGGGGATGATTATCGTCGTCTAGAAGTCTATTACATTGAACGTTTAATGCAGACTATTAAAGATATTAAACCACATGGACAAAGAATTACACCAGTTGTATGGCAAGAAGTATTTGAGAATGGATTCCGAGTAAGTAATTGTACCTTCCAATCAGTCTTAATAATAATAAATATTAAGATTTTTAAGGATTTGGGAAAAGATTATTCTTCTTTCAAAAATCAAGATTTCATCACAAATAATCAGTTTTTCTAAAAATTATAATAAAAATTCTGTGGCAGTTCATTCATTTGTCAAGGAAGTTGCTGTAATAACGGCTGAAAACTCACTCAGATAGGACCTTCTTAGGCTGAAGTATATTTTGAAGGCAGTTTACAAGTCAAAGTACCCAGTTAACGTCCTTCCTTGAAATATCAGAATACAAAAATTAAGCCGTATATAAGGTGGAAGATGTTGTTTTAACTTTTTTAATTCCTAATGGAACATTCCTATCTTGAAACTTGAGCTTTGGAGTATCGTTGGTGATGGCTTTTTTCACACCCAACCTCCCCTCTGTACTTGGCTTACCATCGGATAAACGAGGTTTAGTTGTGCATCGCCTGGGAATTGAACTGAGACCAAATGCGTGGTTGGTGTGCATTTGAATCATCGACGAACTACTACTAAGATTGGTAGTCTAGAAAACCCCTCGGCAGCTAAAACGAATGCTCTGGCTTATAATCACAAGATAAGTTAATGTAGGGTGATATTAGACACACAGAAAGAGGATCCTTCAAAGCCGTATACTAATGACAAACTGGCTAATTGACTGATGAGTCATTGTATACTAGTCACAACAACCAGTGGTGATTGCAAGACAGCCAGATTGATGTGATCTAAATACGGAACGAGAGTTTCAGCAGTTTAGCGTCGAGCTTATCAGCAAATTAATCTGGTAATTGCTAATTTGACTCAGAAAGAGATTGCTTATATGATCATAGTTTACAAAATATAATGGGGGATAGATCACATACAAATATGCGACATTAAAAAATATCTTTTTAACCCATGAAACAACTAAATTTGGTTATATAGTTATAAAAAAGGAATTGTTGAACTCTGCGAGATCATTCTGATGTGATCACAGGTAATACATACTGCTTCTAATATCATCCAACAAACAATGCTACAGCATTGTGCATTATATAAGACAGACAAGCTTGTACAGATATTTTTGAGGCTAACGGTGACTTGCAAGGGAATCCAAGACGTACATTTCGTCCTTCGTCAGACTCTTCACTTTGACGTACCTCTATCCCCAGATTGGTGGTGTTCACACTGAAGCATGACACAGCACACGTCGTTTCAGTTACTAGCAGTGGGACCTAGCAAGTGTGACTCGACCTCCATGAGATGTTTCATTGGAGATAACACCACTCACCGGAACAAAAATACACCTCAGTGGAGAGTCACAAATAGAACAAAACACGCATCCTGGATTCCGATTCCAGCTGTCATCAAGACATAGTCGTATCATTTGTACTGTAAGTTGACATATGAATACAGACAGAATAAATCTACCCTGCTGTATCAAACACAGGGAAATTTCTCAAATGATTTTTATGAATAAAGCAGACTTCTGTTTTTAACACACAATATGTCATGAATTCTTTGCTTCTTATAACAATTTCACAATTTATCCCATATGATTTTGATGAAACCATAGCATCATTGAAGACTGAATATATATTTAGGTTAAATGTCTTTAATGCTGTACTTATATCCTTTAAGTGTCTACTGAAGTCAAGAATACATTGTAACAGGCTGACACGTCGTCGCCATGCAGTCGACGCAGTACGGACTCTGATAAAATGTTGGTTAAACTTCAACTAGTTTTTCATGAAGATTACATTAACAAATGGGTGAACTTTGTAACGCTGTTTGTATATCCTGGAATTTCAAATCTTACAAATTGAAAGTTCTTTTCATCCCTTATTTTCCAAGTGAAATATACATCTTCAGGGTTTAACCTCCCAAGTTCCATTAGTGGGATGAAATCGCTAGCCTCACACCTGACCTTCTCGCTTTCCCGAACTTACTGTCAGTTAGTACACTACTCAAGACTTAGGATCCCGTCATCCGGAAGTCAAAACCTAACATCTCAGGTGCGGTCGATGGACATCCTATCCCTGAACCGTAATCACTGTAACATGCAGATTCCCAACCCTTAATGGAATATGAATTTGTACTATAAAAACAGTTCGGTATGTGTTACTTTTAACTGTCTGAAGATTTACCACTTTCCTTTTAAACCATGAAACTTTAAACTTGATGTTCTCTCTAAACATATTTTACAAACTTATTTTTTTACTTATTCATTGTAAGGGTGATAAATCAACTATAGTTCATGTATGGAAGAGTACCTTTTGGGAAATTGTGGTAAAAATTGCAACACGAGCAGGTTATAGAGTGTTGCTTTCTTCTCCTTGGTATTTGAATCTAATATCGTATGGTACTGACTGGAAAAATTACTATCTCACCAATCCAAGAGTTTTTGCAGGTAATTTTTGAATGATATTTTAATTTTAATATATATATGTGTGTAACCATATGCACGTAGTCCAAAATTCCATCTGTGAGTCAAAGGATTTGTTGATGTTATTGTAAGTCAAGCGGCGTGATATACTTCTTCTAGGTCTTCTAGCACTGATTAGTTAATACGAAATGTCATGTTTACTAATCCACCGTCACTGTGGTTTTTATGCTTTAAATTGTATCCTAGTGACATTGATTGATAAGTACAGTAGTTCATATTACTCTCAGTACTGCTACATCCACATTGCTAATGTCTGTGGTATTGTCCCTCATTACTTCACTGGAAAATCATGTCGTCTGGACTTATGTATATTCTGGGACCTTTGATACTCCTGTTCTTTTTCACACTTTTGTCCTTTTCACTGTGGTTCCTAGTGACGCAATCCTGAAGTCTGTTTCTACTGATATACTCTGTTGGAAGCATTGTTAACGTTAGTGACCCTAAATAAGTCATAATTTCACTTGAGGGTCTTGTTTCTTATTCATTAATTATATATATATGTATCATCAATTACTTCTGTAGCCATTATACTTAACTAATCGGCGATATTAGTTGGCAACAGTGTTACACAGGATTTGATTGGTTACAGGATTTCATCATGAGCTGACATCAGTTTGAAAACCATTGGAAACCACCAGGAATACTGGACAGTTGTTTCATCAGCCTAGATTAGGGATCTTCAGCAGCAAGCACCCGTAGTCAGTGTTCAAACTCAGGACCTTCCGGTTACGAGAAGCGAAATCATAGAACATTAAGCCACTGGGACCTACCTGATCCCATGGCCAGCCCATTAATTCCAACTTCTGCTAGTTCATGAAATAGCGCAACTGGCATTATCTAGTATCATAGATGGCGAGTATTTGTCCTGATACCCGACCTGCTGTACTCCACTGGTCACGAATTCCCACTAGAACTCAGGAAACTACCTACCTGAATTAGGCCAGTAGCTAGTGAGCAACAGATTTTTTTCCAGTGTTAGTTCGCAGAGACATAACTCTATATTATAATGTATCATTATTATATTATTATTGTAATTATTATTGTTATATTTTTTGATGTTTATTCAAGCGACCGAAGAAGAGAAGAAGCTTGTTATCGGAGGAGAAGCGACTATGTGGGGTGAATATGTTGACAATACAAATTTATTCAGTCGATCATGGTTAGTAATGAATGAATAAGCGAACTGGATTTAAATTTCTTCACCTGATGCATTTGTATTGCAGACAGTTTTATTAGAAATACTATGGCTTACCACTATCAGTTGACGAAGTAGAAGACACTGGCATATGCTTCGTCCCATTTTATGACTTTTCATCGGTACGCGCGCATTACTTAACGAGAGATTGAACCGACGTATTTCAAGTTACAAGGCGAGCACGTAACACCATCCAGCGACTTGATGGGAATCCAACCATTAAACTGTGGTCAACTGTTACTCTATGACTGAGAACTAACACTGTCAAAATCGACAAATGTTTTTGTAAAATCTTAATGCTCGAACAAAGATGTTGATTAGGCGTGCTCGAAAGTAAAACTTATCACATATAATTTTATCCCGGGTCTTAGCAATACGATGAGAAGTTAGTTCACTTTTAGAAAGAGACTTTTAATTGAAGATCAGTAATTCGGATGTTTATCAACTGGTTAGTGAATTTGGTAGGTAAAGTAGAATGAAATGTGAAAAGACAAAGATGGCTACAAAAATTATATCAATCATGTTACACCCTCATTACTTAATAATGCACTACTATACGGTCATAGTAAGTATAAAGATCATTGAACAGCGCCTCTGAACATGATTTCATAGATAAGGAAAATTTTCTTCTTTCAGTCATCTTTTGTAATCTTCAAGAATACACTAAATGACAATATATTCCCAACATCTGAAAATTAAGGCAATAAACAGTTGGTTTTATTGGTTGCATAAGTTCAGTCTTCAAGGTTGTTCAGGTGCACCATAATAAATATTCGAACAAGACATAAGCGAACATTCCTCTTGTTTTCAATTTTATCTTCTTCAGGCTTCAATCAAATTTACATAGTGATATATAACAAAATGTAACCAATGACGTTGAGTTTGTGTGGACGAAATAACAGTAATAATAATAGTAATGAGTTAAATGTTTTTTAAGTTGGTAACCTCGTGAAACTACCAAAGAAGGGCGACCTAGGACTCTGCAAAAGCTGGCGAGGAATCATGCTCCTGTCGACGCCAAGTAAAATCCTGAGTCCCATCATCCTGGGGAGAGAATAAAGGACGCACTGGATACAGAACTCCAACCAGAACAAGCTGGATTCAGGAAAGGCAAATCATGTTCTGACCAAATTGCAACTCTACGCATCATCACCGAACAAAGCATGGAATGGCAATCAAATCTCTACCTCAACTTTATAGACTTTGAGAAGGCCTTCAATAGCGTTGACCGCGAAGTAATTTTGAGACTACTCAAGTACTACGGCGTACCCCAAATATTCATCAACCTTATTCAACAGCTGTGCGACAACAGCACATGTCAAGTGATCCACAACGGAAAACTCAGCGAGGCGTTTGGAGTAAACACAGGAGTCAGACAAGGGTGCTTATTATCACCAATGATATTCCTAATTGTGGTGGACTGGATTATGCGTCAGACAGTAGGAAACGGAATAACAGGGATATCCTGGACCGACGTGAAGAACCTAGAAGACCTGGATTTCGCGCCTGGATGATTTATGTTTGATGTCACACAAAATCGAAGACTTACAAGCGAAAACCGATAAACTGGTCGAAGAAGCAGGCAGTGAAGACAGGACTCCAGGTGAACATAGACAAGACGGAGGTTATGAAAATAACCAACCAACCAACCAACAACAACAGCAACATCCAGCGCCAATCATCATCAATGGGAAGGATTTGAAAGAGTTTACTTCTTTCACTTATCTAGGGAGCATTGTCTCAACTACAGGAGAAACGGACGAAGATGTCAAATCGAGAATCGGGAAGGCGAGAAACACATTCATCAACCTCAAACCAATCTGGAAATCTTCATCACTCAGCATCAACAAAAAAATTCGGATTTTCAATACAAACGTCAAGTCAGTTCTTCTATACGCATCAGAAACTTGTCGGTGGGTCACAAAGAATATTTTCAACAGGCTGCAGACCTTTATCAACAACTGTCTTCGCTCTATACTGAAGTTCAGATGGCCGGAAAGAATCACCAACAAGAAACTATGGGAACAAACAAAACAAGAAGCAATCGATATAAGTATAAAACTTGGGCACTGTGGTAGAGTATAATTCCATAATGGATAAGATTTTATTTTGATAAATCACACAGTGTAGTACAGTTATATTAACTGATGACGTTTCGAGCACAAACTATTGCTCACAATCATATCAACTTGATATGATTGTGAGCAATAGTTTGTGCTCGAAACGTCATCAGTTAATATAACTGTACTACACTGTGTGATTTATCAAAATAAAATCTTATCCATTATGGAAGAAGCAATCGCTCAACAGATATGCAGGAGAATGTGGAGATGGATTGGACACTCGCTGAGGAGGCCGTTGGGTGACATCGCGCGTCAGGCCAGTGCTCGAGTGGAACCCGAAAGGGAAGCGTTGAGTGGGAAGTCGAAGAGTGACATGGAGCAGATCGTGTGAAGAAGAGTTGAAACAGTATGGACTAACATGGATGCAAGTGAAAAGTACAGCAGGAGACAGAAGCAAGTGGAGACGTGCAGTTGAAGCCCTATGTTGCACTAGGAACCCAAGGGAACAATAATAATAATAATAACGATGTTTATAATGATACAGAAAATAATGATCATAAGTTTATGCTCGTGGTGATAAGAATAACGAATGTAGTGTATGTTCGTATATGTAGACAATTCAATACATAAGTTAAGTCAAATCTTAAAAGTTACGTAATACCATATGTGAAGTGGACAGACAATCAGGGTTTAATTAACTATCATAAAAGTACGAAGGAAATGGTAAATAAGAAAGGGTGGGTGGGTTTTTTTAATTAAAATTTATCTAAGCTAAGGGAGAAACACAAAGGTGGAACAAACTTCTTTTGCAAACAAAGACTAGTCTTGTTCTCTCCGACGAAATTTCAGCACGAATACAGAGGGCTAGGTTCGCATTCGCCAGTTTTCGCCGTCTCTGGCGTAGACGCGATATCCGACTATCGACCAAAGGGCGTGTGTACTGCTCAACAGTCCGCTCCGTCCTCCTTTATGGCTGTGAGACCTGGCCATTGAGAGCAGAAGACATGAAAAGATTAGCTGTCTTCGATCATAGGTGTCTGCGTTCTATCTCCCGCGTGAAGTGGTATAATAAGGTGAGCAATATTGAGGTTAGGCGTCGAGTGCTAGGTAAGGCGGGGAAATCAATCGACGAGACTGTGAAATTACTTCGACTGAGATGGTTAGGACATGTGCTACGTATGCCTAGTCATCGCCTTCCTCGTCGGGCAATGTTAGCTGATATAGGGTCAGGCTGGAAAAGAGCTAGCGGCGGTCAAACCAAAACATGGCACCAATCAATGAAATCCACAACAGTTAATCTAAGCCACGTAGGAAGATGTAGACTTCCTGGTTGGGGCCCTCGGGATGGTAAAAACCAATGGTTGGAAACAATTGGTGACATGGCTCAAAATCGTTCTCAGTGGCGCAGATGCATCCACTCCTTGTGACTTATGATTTCCAATTAAACTTTTGTTCTCCGTTATTACTATTCCTTTGTCTCTCACCTCTGTTTACTGTCTATATTATGCATTTCTTCTACTTTCTTCTCTTGCTTTGCGTGCTACATAGATTGTGGCGACTTGAACTGCCGCACATATGTGCAAAGTTCTATGTCGAAAACCGACCGACCGACCGAGTCTTGTTCTCTCGAATTAATTCCCATAGCTTCGTTTATGTGTAAAAGGCGGTTCGAATTCCTTGTGAGAGTTTCAATGGAATGCGATGAATAACTTTGACAACACTAATTCTGTCCGCTTGGTGACCGCTGTCGTCAATACAATCAGAAAAAAAATAGAAATTCTTATAGATTTTATTTGGCCTTTTCCCAACCACGATGGAAGACGTTCATTAATACGTTAGTTGAATTGTCTAGTTGTTCGCCCTATATAGCTTTCTCCACAGGAGCAGCTAAATTTTTAGATACACAGAGAAAGGGCACAGCTGGGCAGCTTGTCTTTCGCTCGAGCAGTTATGATTGGTCGGCTGTGGAATGATTATAAAAGGGTGGGGAAGCAGCACAAGTCCGTTTTATTGCTCTCGATGATCTTAGATGCATGACACTGTAACAACAGAAGGCAAGAGTCAGACAACAAATCATTTATTAAGGAAATCAACGCATATTTATATATGTTTTCATGGACATTACTATGGATACGTAAACAAACAAACACAGTCTTCCGATTGGTTGTTTCTCACGACAAATCTTGGGAACGCAATTATTGACGTAAATTACTGTCTACCAATTTGGCTAGTAGACAGCTCTCACCACAACTCCACTAGTCACGTCCCCATTAAATTGCAAATCATTATAATCATCGTTATTTCCGATGTTAAAAACATTTAACTCATTACTATTATTATTACTATTATTTGATCCACACAAACTCATTGTCATTGGTTTAATTTATATATTTATATATATATGTAAATTAGAGAGGAGCCTGAAGAAAATCTAATTGAAAGTAACAATATTTTTCGCTTATATGTCGTGTTCTGATATTATTAATGGGAATAAATATTCTACCTCAGCACCAGTGATTTCATTCGTTCAGACCAGCTCAAGCCAGTTTAAGCCTGTTTTTATTTGGTTTTAAAGAGTAAGCAAAACTTTAAGCTATACACAAATACTAAGCAAATTCTTCTCTTTTTTACTTTTTAAAGGCCTCGTGGTGCAGCAGTAGCGGAACGACTATGGACAGAATATGATAAACCTGACACAAATGAATTTGCTTCAAGACTAAAAGAACTCCGATGTAGAATGCTGAGGTAAATTGAACTGTATTGTAAAATATTTTGTATGATAAATAACTGAAACATCGATTAGCAAAAAGATTATTCATCACCACTAACTGGATCTGAGTGTTATTTACGTTTAATAGCATACATATGACCTCCAATTGCTTTGAAGCAAAATTTGTCATTCCTGTGACAATTAGGAATACAATTAGATGAATTAATTCATCCATAGGTTTTCCACTGACTGCACGACGAATGTTAACAGTATCTTCCCAAACGATGACAAGATATCACAACATTAAAGTGATTCACGGCGATAAGTCTTTCCTTACTTTGTGTACTGAGACTGCGATGAGATGTAAGAAAGCCATGGATGAAGTGGATCTTCTGTATTACACTAGTGATTCCTTAAAGTGACTGATGAAGCCTAGAAACTGTATACCATTTACATCATCCCACTGTTTCTCAACGTCATTGCTCATAAACGCCAACTTTTATGTTCATGAATCAATTCTCCTTAAAAAAGAAGCTCCATGGATCTCATGAACAGACTTCAAGGCTTTTTGTCAAATGGTTACTCTCAACACTAAAGTCAGTTGTAAAAAATAATATTGTTTAAGAGGTACATTAAAGGACTTTTCAGGGAGAAATTGGTGAAAGGATTTGACGAATAAAACCAACGACTTTATGTATATGTGAGGAAATCAAGAGTATTTACAAATTTTCTTGATTGTTAATTGGTTGATAGCAACTAGCAATGGAATCCAGGACAGGAAAATCTAAATTGAATTAAGTAATAAATAAGATACGTGGCACAAGAGGTGGCTTCCGTGGCCCAGGTGGTCTAGCGGATAACGCTGTGGTGTTTGAGACTGTGGGTACCGTGTTCGAATCCCAGTAGGAACACCATCACTCATTGGCAAATGCAGGTACATCCAGTTGATGAGTCCCCATTAGGACGAAGTGCATATCCTGGATTCCACTGTGAGTTGCCATAAACCAATTAACTTCAAGTCACTTGACCAGACATCATCGAAGCACCTGCACAAGCAGCCAACATGTCAACCTGAGACCGAGCACTTCTGTCCGGTCAATCAACAGGAAAATCTTAATTGAATTGAGTGATTTTTTGACTGTTATTTCTAGCATCATCTGATCACCTGTTGCTATCTGAATAATTGTGATTTCCAAAGGGAAGCGTAGTGAAATTTCATCGCAAACTCAGCAGCATACAAAGTGAGAATTTAATTTCCAAATTGTGAATTTTTCGACCCAATATATTACCAGTTTTCCCGAATAACTGGCTAGAGTTCGAATGGTTTCAACTGATCCAGCTGTCTGAGATGAGTCAGAATGGATACAATGCTGATGAGTTTGGTCTCACAAGAGTGAAACGTCCATTGGTTGTTTAGGTCATTTCAATATGGCTGGCTAGCAAGCACCACACTTTTTGATGTGAGTGCTACTACTACTCAACTTGCAACTTTATTGACCAGTATTTCTTATTCCTTTTTGCACACAAATGTTTCCCTGAGGTATACTATGCCGCAAGTTGTCATCCTTTTAGCCAGGCAGAATGCTTCGAAAGTATTTTTGATCGTTTTCTTTACATATAATCAATACTCGCTGAAATAAAGATAATCTGTGAAAAGTTTTAATCAACCTGACTTGTCACTATGCAATGTATACTACTCATTCACTAGCATTCTCAAAAGTGTCTAGAGTCAGTCATTGGTTTCATATAAATAAATGTGAGTATTCTAAACGATTGACTGTTATTTTTTCACACAATTAAGTGAATATATTAAATTTCACAAGCTGAACCATACACAGATACTTCAAATCAGTAAGTCTTGTTATAGTGATTGTTATAGATTCCATTTGGAAAAAACCCACCCATTTTGAAATTCAGGTGAATATAGAAAAGACAGAAGGGATGAAGATATCTAACCAACACTAACGAAAACCAGATTGATTTCTTTCTAGGATGAAGATGCTAAGGTCAGGATCGGAAATGCAAATTACGCCATCATCAACCTGAAATCAGTTTGAAAATCTTCTGCACACTGCCAGCATAAAGAACAAGAATCGGATTTCCAACTCAAATTTGAAAACATTCAGTCCTTCTATACGGGTTAGAAACTAGCATTGCGTGTCATGAAAAGGCCTCTGCAGACTTTCATCAACATCTGCCTTTGCTGGCTCCATACTGAAGATCAAATGGTCAAAAAGAATAAACAACAAGAAACTGTGGAAACAAACCAACCACGAGTCGATTGCTCAACAAAAATGTAGGAGAAATTGGAGATGGATCGAGCATACATTGAGGAGGTCATCGAATGACATCGCACGCCAAGCTTTTGGGTGGAATCCAGACGGAAAGCGACGAGTGGGTCGTCCCAGGGTGACATAGATATCATGTTGCGATAAGAAGATGAGAGATTATGGCCAATTGCGAACTCAGATGAAGAGGGCATCAGAAAATGGAAGAAAAGGGAGATGTGTTGTTGAAGACCTATGTTCCACTCAGAATAATTAATAAATGTTTTGAGTCCTTACTATTAGTGCTGACTGAGTTTTATCGATCAGGTATGCAATATGGTCACCATCGTGGTGACATTTTCAAATCAATGTTGCCTGGTTGGTGACAATCAAAAGGAAACCTTGAACGTCATTAGTAAAAATGTAATAGATGTCCTGGAGGTCTAGTTAGAAGTTGTATCTGACATCGTCTATCATTCCAGAATGAAAAGAGTGCTCATAGACGGCACTCATTGGCTTTGGCTCTGTATAGCGATTTGGCAGAAATTAGAATTCACAAGTCATTGGACTTCAACCTAAAGGCTGGATGGTCAGTGAAATTACATTGTTACGTGAGGTATTTCTGATGGTTTCATGGATGTGAACTGTTGAAAAGTCGAAAACTGAGACGAAACAGCTGTCCAGTGCTCAGTGATTCTCAATGTTTCTTTTAGTAATGCCGGTTCATGATGGAGTCCACAAGCACATCGATCGAAATCTCTACAGCTGGACAACTTTGTTACGTGACTGTCACATCATTGGAAGAACTGCAAATAACAGTGGCTTATTGTTATCAGGCGAAGAAATACTTGCAACAAAAGGAATTCGTAGATAGTTCCCACTTTCACCTACATTAGTGATGAAATAGGAAGCGTTGAAAACCCTCCGTTTTTGTTAGCCAGATTTGATTAAGCTAAACTTCGGAGGACTGTTTCACTTGTTCACGATTGAATTCGCCAGTGAGGACCCATTTCTACTCCAAACCACCCTGAACTGCGTATGGAAGGATAGTGGGTAGGTTCCTAACACTTTCTGCTGCCATGGTGAGTACACTACTCCCTTAATACTAAAAACATGTAGACTCCAGTACTGGCTGTATATACACATTACTATTTGAATCATTTACTCCTCTTTTTCCATTTTAGTCGTGGCTTGAATCCGGAGCCAATCAATGGACCAGGATATTGTCCTGTATAATCAACGGCCAGTTTTGAATAGTCGTTTTCTTCAAAAATTCGATTATACATATTTCCTTCATTGATTGTTCATGCATTCACTGTTACCGATATTATTTTGATAATTGAATTATAACATGAACATTTTTACTTTTGAACAATATTTATTGAAGGCGTTGATTTTATCCTCATTTCGGAATTGTTATACAAGCTGAATTGACGAGTGATCAAAGTAAAATTAAAATAAAATATTCCCAGTTGAAGATATTCTGAAATTGATTTCTTTCATTAAATGATCCCTTCCACTACTGAAAGAATAACAATCAAGGCCGCCTGACAACTTCCTAGTAGATTCTGCCAGCATTAAATAATATTAAACGCAAACATTTAAACGCTGATACTGAAATTGGTACAACCATTAATCCACTTGATTGTTAAAGTTAACGAACTTCCTACCTAGTTAAAAAAGAGCCTACTGTTCTTACCAATATTAGCAACAACAATGATAGGGTACGATACGGTCGAACCCCCAAAACGCAAGAAGACACACCGTTGACATAGAGGGGTTCATAGTCTCGAATCAACAGAGTAAAGGGTTGACAGCAATTGAGTGTATTTATGCTTTGTATGACCTTGAGTGGCAGTAATCACACTGATATTTTAAAAAAGCGAACAACCAATAAAGTTGCAGTGTTACACGTGGGGGGGGAGGATACAAACAGCACTGTGTTGTAGAGATAAATTTAGTATTTTAGAAGAAAATAGGTCTTTGTAACAGAAATATGTTGAATAGATCAATTAATTATAATCAATGGGTGTTTAAACATAAGGATAAGTTGTTTGTAACTTTTTGGTAATACTTCAAGCAAAATTACTATTCATGATCACACCAAATGCTAGAATTATTCTTTTGACTCACACATTTATAATTTGTAATCATATACACACGGTTTGTTTGTACTTATTCATTCTTGTGCATCCAGAATTAAATTCCAGATTGCTAACAGTTGAACTGAGTCAACTATGTTGCATGTTGTCGTAGTGACCAAAGTGATTACACATTCCACTATTAGTCATTCATTCCATTTGTTCATATTGAGTTTCAGAATACAAATGTTGTCCCAGTAAATTTTTTGTCTTTTAATCCCACATATAAGTAACTACAGATGATTTTTTTCTTGTGTTCTAGTGTATTGACCTTAAGTTTCGTTATTCCCACCAGCGAAGTGCCGGAGGTTGGCTCACTTAGCCGATGCTCTGACTTCAAATGATTGTCATACATTATCAGTACTTCTCCTAGCCGCTTCAGATGTATTGAAACGAATTCTGTAGAAGAGTATTTGTAGATGACATCGGAGAGAAATCTTGCTGGAAAGTCTTTGCATAGAAGTCGATGTAACCAAACACGGCATCTCTGTATGTATGTGTCTCTGTAGAGCAATTGATCACGTTTTGTTTTCTAATGATAACTCGTAGACTGCACATGCTCACCTGCTATTCTGTATACGGAAGCTGTATTCTCCGAAATCTTCTGTAGGTAAGTAGTGTAGTACACAGTGTCGTTGGGGATAAATTATGCTCCAGTTTCAGAAGGTTAGTTTCAGTCATGATCGAACAGAAGATAAGCCGAAGAAACACCAGTCGATGAATGCTTAGATGCCACGTATGCGGCCCTGGATTGTGACAGAGCCTCGAACCAACAACTGTTTGACGTGCGACTGATAAAAACACGGAGCACTGCTTCGGCCGTTATGTTTGCGCCTTTTATCAATCCATTTCCTTGTCGATAACACAGGATAATATGCATCTTCCGAGTTTCCGACTTAGAACATACCTGAATTAGCAACCAGTTCTCAGATGCATCTCTGTGACCAGAAAAAAGCCATTGGAAATCCACATTGTGTTACCAGTGTGTTGGGTGACGCTTTCACCTCAGTGACCAGTACCGCCTAATACCACTTGGTAAAATAGTCAGACTTAACTAGAGTATATATATCACCATATTTTGTTGCTGGTAACAGTCCAATAATGTAGTTCCAAAAAGTTAGTGTGGTCTTGTCCTTGACATTGAGACCATATGTTTTTATGGTCTGTATGGTGGTAACTTAATGTGTGCACGAGTCTAACACTGTAGGTCTCCTCAGCATTTCAATGTAATAACAGGTACCAAAAACGTCGCCAGAACACAGCTTCCACCTTACGTGGACCAGCTTGTCAAAGTTACTGAAGCATTTATTCATGGTATGTTATACTTTAGATCAAGGTGCTACAGAATAAGGCGTTTTGGCTGGTTCTGCTAAATAAAGGATACTAATAACTAAGCATAGATGTCCCCACAAATATAACGCTATATTAGTGGCATATCCTTCATTTCTAGACTTGGATGTTTATCATTCTCAGGTGTTTGATTTGCATAAGTGTTCGATAAGTTAGGATCCGCTGCTAGGAGAGAAGCCTAGCTAACTTCGTCAGAGATATTAAGTGGTGCGTTCAGTATCGCGGTAGTCTCCAGGATACACGTTAACGTATTGATGCATTGGATTAAATGCACTGAATGACAGAATTGATTGGACACTGGTAGGCGACCAAAGTCATTTCTGTAGTCTCTGGTGTTCATGCTGGCCAAATTTGATCACTTCATTTGCTACTCTGATGAACAATGTTGGAGACTCACTATTGTGGTGCATCTTCCTTGAGGCTATACATGCCTACATTTCGCATTCTCTAGTAGGCGGCATTATGGCGTATTTACAGCCTTGAATGCTCTCATGTCTTTCTGAGATTCAAACACACATTCTCTAGTGAAACAGTCACATATCATAACACGGAAATATTTTGACTGTGCTTATATTCCTAGTCAAGAGACCGATAATCTGAGGATAACTATACTTTAGAGATCAATATTTGACACATTCCAATCGTGTTGGTGTTGTTATTGGATTTGCTTGAAAATCTAAATAAGCTGCTGAATACGATGTGTTCATAATAACTGGGGCACATCTTGAAATAATAGCGAAGAGGTGTAGCTCAAGGGTATATATGTTGCATGATTATGCCTTCTAAGCTGGGTGATATACATGTCCACGAGGACAGTGACTTCGTCATCCTAGACTTTGTATGCACAAAAGAAAATTATTCAACCACTTCTACTCCCATGGTAACAACTGTGTTGATTTGACTTAACTTTTCTTTATTTGTTTGTTTGATTTGACCTTACTTTTGTTTGTATGCTTATTATTCTACTTAAAACACTCGTGTAATTCCTTATATTTCGTTTCCATGTACACCCTGAGTACAACTCTTTAATTAAACTATTCATGTCATTACGTAACCCTTCTTTAACAATCGTTTGTGACAACTCATCATTTTTGTTACTACCCTCTTATAACAACACTTAATTCACTTGAACTTAATAATTGTAATTTCGTCTTATTACGCAACTCTTTTTTAGCAATCGCTTTTGACAACTCATCAATTTTGTTATTACTCTCTTATATCAACATCCAATTCATCTGAACTTACTAATTGTATTTTCGTTTGATAAATTTAATGTACACACACATACAAAACAACCATATATATTTGTGGTTGTACAGCTATGAAAATGAATTCGCCGAAAAGAGACTCTTCTCTGAACTACTTGTCTTCTGTCTATTAATGTTCGAATGGGAATTTTTCATGAATTAAATACGTTTATATGAAAGAAAACATAGAGATGCAGTTTTAGTACTTGGATAATATTAAAAGCGTGGTTTATTGCTCGTTATCAAATCAATTTAGTCACAGACCTTCAAAATTCGCCTTATATTTGCATATTTCTGTCTCTCCCTCTTACTCCTGTCATTTGTCACAACTTTCCATATCTCCTGTATAGGCAAGGCGTCATTTCGGTTGAATGTCTTCGGTGTTTTCTGAACAAACACAAATTCAGTAATTAACTGCCCACGCTCTCTCTCTCTGCATCTAACTATATTACTTCTCAATACATTCACTATGTCCCACCCACCCAACCTATTCTGTGAATACATGCAAATCAATACAATGCAATGGTCGACTGTTATTCTGAGCTGCTTAACTTCTCAGAGTCAGTCTTTCTTGATGTGGCTGAACTTTCATGTTGCAATAATCTAAATGACGCTGGTCTACTAGTTTGACCAATGTAACTGACCTCACTTACAGTGATTACATGGTATCCGGTAAATTATATTACGTTTCCGTATTGTATCTATCATGTGCTTAAGCTGAAAAAGTTTGTGTCTGAATGAGTTGGTTTGTTTCGACGGCAAGTTGATTGCAACCTCATTAAGAGTTCTTCCAACGAAAGGCCTGTAATGTTCCTCCTTTATGCTTCACGACTACAGAGACTGTGTATTCCATCTTATTTTTGTTATTTCCGTCATTTCCATTACTAATCGTTTCCCCTCATCACCTTTATACATTTTTGAACAGGTTCTGTTCGGTAGTTGTTATTGGCTAGTGCTACTTTCCTCATTCGTTTTATTCCGTTAGTTAGTTATTCTGGTTTGATAGTAATTAGTCGAGTGGTCGGATTATATAGACACCTAAGCAGACCTACGTTTACCGACTGTGGATGGGCTGAATTAAATTGACAGTGTAACAGCAGAAGGCAAGACATAGAAGAACACGTGGGTTTTACATTGATCAAACGGCTGTTTATATATCTACAGTTAATATTCGTTAAAAAATCAGTGAGCGTGTGTTATTCTGTTTCGACATGAAATAGAATGTTCAAATATCTACAATATTTCCGTTGCCAATGCAGTGTTGAACTGTGGGATTAACATTCCGACTCTTACATGAAATAGAATGTTCAAATAGATATATCGTATTCTGTTGGTACAGCCGATTCAAACTGTTGTAACATGTGAGATTAACATTCCGTTGTCACGCATTGTCTGTATCACACCACCACAACATCATTTACTAGAATATGTCGGTTCCCTATAGATGTCAATATGTTATTCACAGTCTTGTTTTCTATTTTCTTTCACAGTCCAGCATTTCCCAATTGTTTAATAGTTATTAATGAAGTTTGGAGAAGATATCATTGACAGATCACATTGAAGTGCAATTACACTGAAGTGCATTGGGATGACAGCTTTCATGTCCACCTACTGGAAGCAACATCATTGCTTCTCAAACTTCACGTTTTGTAGCTACCGAGAAAGCAATCAATCAGGCAAGGAAGAAATGATAGGAACAAACAACTGCTCATGAGGGAGTTATAAGCAAAACA